CCCACTAAGAGCACAGGCCCTGATAACATCCCGTCTAAGTTCCTAAAAGATGGTGCTTCTGAACTGTCAATCCCTATTGCTCACATAATAAATTTGTCAATCACCACTAATACCGTACCGGAAGGGTTCAAGGAGACCAGAGTTACTCCTATCTTCAAGAAAAATAGTAGGTCTGATGTAAGCAATTATAGGCCAGTTAGTATATTCAGTATAATATCCAAAATTCTAGAGAGGGTGGTATACTGTCAAGTAGTTAAGTACCTTAATGACAACAACATTCTCCATACCTATCAATCAGGCTTTAGAAGATCTTACTCAACCGACACCTCCCTAATTAATCTGATGGATTACTTGAGAACTGAAATGTCAATGAGGAACCTCATAGGTATGGTAACCTTAGACCTGCAAAAGGCCTTCGATACTGTCAACCACAATATATTATGTACGAAACTTCAAGCTATCGGTATAGGTTCTGTAGACTGGTTTAAGTCCTACCTTAGCAACAGGAGACAATTTGTCAAAATCAACAAAACGGAATCAGAACCCCTGACGATAACATGTGGAGTTCCCCAAGGTAGTATTCTGGGTCCCTTATTATTCATATGCTATTCTTAGGTCAATAAAAATTCCTAGCGGATATTCCTTATGTATTATGTATAATAATCTATGTAACTGCATTTGTGTATACCTGAATAAACTTACTTACCCATCCATCTTGCTTTTTTTTTTTTTTTTAGTTTTATTAAGGCTCGGCGAATGTTGGGATTGAACACCTCCTGTCAAGGCTCAGGGACTGAGTCCCTTTCTGTCAAGGTTGAAAGATGTAACACCTGTCACAGCTGAGGATGTGAACAACTTCTATCCAAGATCATGAATTATTTACCCCAGCTTCCACCGTCTCCAGTATATCATCTCTGTATTGAGCTGATAATTTACTGGTTGGCACACCGTCCTAAGAATAAAAATACCCAAGTTTGCACTTGTGTCTTATTCATCAGCTTGTGAGATTTGTTTACCATTAATGTGATAATCGCTGTCTATTCGTTGTCTCCCTCTTGTCTCCAAATCACTTGTTCTCTCTAAGGCTGGAATACTGCTGTACATTAACATCTCCATTCAAAGCAGGTGAAATTGCAGATCTAGAGAGTGTACAGAGATCATTTACTGCACGTATAAGTTCTATCAAGCACCTTAACTACTGGGAACGCTTGGAAGCACTTGACTTGTACTCGTTGGAACGCAGGAGAGATATATATCATAATCTACACTTGGAAAACCCTAGAAGGAATAGTCCCGAATCTGCACACAGAAATCACTCTCTACGAAAATAAAAGACTGGGCAGGCGATGCAAGGTGCCCCCGATTAAAGGTAGGGGCGCCATTGGTACACTAAGAGAAAAGACCATAAGTGTCCGGGGCCCCAAGACTGTTCAACAACCTCCCACCAAGCATACGGGGAATTACCAATAGGCCCCTGGCTGCCTTCAAGAAGGAGCTGGACAGATATCTAAAGTCAGTGCCGGGTCAGCCGGGCTGTGGTTCGTACGTTGGACTACGTGCGGCCAGTAGTAACAGCCTGGTTGATCAGGCCCTGATCCACCGGGAGGCCTGGTCATGGACCGGGTCGCGGGGGCTTTGATCCCCGGAATAACCTCCAGGTAGGTAAGCCAGGTGTCATCCTCACAACGGTACACAATACCGACAAGAGAAGAAATTAGACACTGTGCAACACCTAGGTATCTTTATTTGAAGATAGAGTCATAGATAGAGAGATTGATTACCTCATTTTCTACTGTCTTCTCTGTACGGTTCCTAAAGGCTAGGGGACTGATTACCTCATCTTCCACTGTCTTCTATGTATAGTTCTTCAAGACTGAGGAGCCGATTACCTCATCTTTTGTATATACATCTAAACTCTTCACATTATCTCTTTATATTGTATTGATAAAGACACAGGATAGTGAAAAGTCTACAAAATAAAGATAGCCAGATGTTGCGCATCTTGTCTGTGTTGTTCACCATTCATATACAAAGTCGCAATTACTTGAGCTGACAGTGGGTGTGAGATGAACCTGTGCTAGGCAGGTTCAACTCACACCCACTCATGTACTTGTCCATCCTATTTTTATACCTCCCCAAGGTTCTCGCCTCATTGACGCTACTCGGGAGTTTGATACACTCATCCACTATTTTATTACCAAATCTATTTTTTTCCCCGGTTTGAACTCACTGCTGCGAGTCCTGTCATGGTTAGATATTTTCAGCACGTTGCTTATATCTCCTTCATTTCTGCCTTCCATTTGTAAATTTCAGTCATATCCTCCCTAAATCTTCGTCTTGCTAGAGAAGACAAATTCAGTGCCCTCGGTCTATCCTCGTAGGGAAGATTTCTAATGTATGGGGATCAATGGCATCAGTAATATGATATGATAAATAGGAGTAATGATACACTTGTGCAACATATGGGAATCTTTATTGAAGAAACGTTTCGCCACACAATGGCTTCATCAGTCCTATACAAAGAAGAATGGTGAAGATCAGAACAAGTGTGAGGTAATCAGTCCATCAGTCTTTTCAAGATTGACGGACTGATTACACCGACTCCAGGTTGAGGGACTGATTACCTCAGACTCCTGATCTTCACCATTCTTCGATGGATAGAATTAATGAAGCTACTGTGTGGCGAAACGTTTCCTCAGTAAAGATTCCCATATGTTGCATAAGTGTATCATTACTCTTATTTATCATATCATTACTGATACCATTGATCCTCATATATTAGAAATCTTCCCTACGAGGATAGACCGAGGGCACTGAATTTGTCTTCTGTAGCAAGACGAAGATTTAGGGAGGATATGACTGAAATTTACTAATGGAAGGCAGAAATGAAGGGGATATAAGTACCGTGCTGAAAATATCTATGACAGGACTGAGAAACTTTCAAGCAAGCCTATCGTCTCCTTAATCTTAATTCATTTACCTGAAAGAAACCTTTCACATAAAATTTTGATTCCCTTGCGACTTTAATTTCATAATCTCTTTTGGCTTTTCTTATTCATTTTTATATTTTTCTCTTTAAGTGAATATGTTGGTTCGTTAAGTGTCCCTTTTCTCTTTTGATTCGCCTGTCAATGTCTTTATTTTGCTACTAGCATCACCATAGTACAGAGATCTGACTAGTATACCATCTCAACCTTACAAAATTAAACCGCACATGCAATGGAACTTATGACATTTCGGTTTAACTAGTTAATAGTCCATTAGTCTTATCAAGATTGATGGACTGATCACATCGACTCCAGGCTGAGGGACTGATTACCTTAAACTTCTGATCTTCAGTCATTCTTCTCTGTGTTGGACTGAGGAACCTACTAGTTGGTGAAAAGTTTCCTCAATTAAAAAAATAACTTACTAACTTAAAAAACACAATTGGTCATCTTCAAAATTTCAACACTGGTGTATCTTGTCACTTTTTTTCTCGAAATAGTATAGTAATATTTTACATTATTGCCTGATAAGTAAACATGTGCAACTGTTGCCTATTTTCATTCCGAAACGTTTCACTTACTTGCTTAATCAGTCGAGTGCAGAGCAGTCAGCAGAAGTTGTAGAGATGTAAAGACGGTGTACAAATCAAAGATGTAGTTTTGAGACGGTCAGTCCCTCAGCCTGGAGAAGAGTTCTGTTCCATAGTCTGAAACAATGTGAAGCTAAAGCATCGGAATGGAGACTTATATACTGCCAAGGTGAGGCACAGAAAATCTTGACAGAAGAGGCGGAGCCCATTAGTAGAAGTATGTAATAACTGACAGTGTAGCAAGACTACTGGGTAGGTCCCTCTCATGTCCAACCTCACTCTTAATTTGTGGTTCCAATTTGGCTTTTTTTTTATGGAAGAAACTGGAAAAATTTATATGCTGGTTTTCATGTGATAATTCGTGAATACCTTATCAGATTGGCCCCATCCAACCTTCAACGCTGATAATCTGATACTGCAAATTCTGAGCGGCTTCAGACTTAATGTGCTGGTGTGTTTAAGGATATTGGTCTCTAAAATCATGGGAGAGCGCTAAACTCGTAGGATTATACAGCACGTGTGGGGGGGATGGAAGGTATTCAGGCTCAATTCAGGGAACCGGAACACGGATCCAATTCCCTAGATCAAGAGCCCCTCACCAGTATCAAGGAACCTTCCTTGAGGGGTGGTCTGAGATAAAAAAAAAAAGTATGCTTCATCAGTTCGACTTCAAATCTGGTGTTTTCTATCTGAAAAATTGATTTAGTTAAGAACATTAGAACGAAGGAACACTGCGGCAGGCCTACACTATTCCTTTCGCGTGCACTGACAAGCTACAGGGGGCTGGGGCCATGTAGTACGGCGATACTTTTCTGGGATAACAGCAGCGACAAACATCTACCTAGTACAGTGATGGTGACACGCTAAGGCCACAGTGTTCATGCAGTGCCTGGGAAACTGGAGGGTGGCAGCTTGATTCAAGAAAGTGGAGCCCTACTGTGGAGGATAGATCCAGTTCCTTGGTAAGTCCTTCAGCAGCACAAAGAATTCTCTTGCAGAGAGAGAGAGAGTAATTGTATCGTCAGTAGTTATAGGGATTAAGATTACAATTATCATACCCTGCAACATGTGTAAATTACCTAGGATAACCCCAACGAGTCAGACAAAGTGACTTATTTCCATTGGGGTACTTGTATTATGTTATTATTTAAAGCCTATCTGTAACAGTAGAAAATCAGTCCTGATTGTAGCCTTAGGAATGATAGCAACTAAGTAACTCAACTGAGTGAAAACCAATCATAGCAACATCATTGATACACGAGTGTTCAATGAGGATCAAGTGAACTAATGTTCAAGTCAGCAGTGCTTGAGCAAGCACTCTGCCACACAATGTGATGCAACGAGGCGGCTCTGTACAAATCAACGAAAGGTTCATTCAAGTAAAAGCTCAGTGACCCCTGGCACACCCAGCAGAGAGAAGCTGCATCCCGGAATGTCTTGAGAATAATAAAGTTGAGACGAGAAGAACCACATCTCCAGAGCGGGTAGCCTACTAAAGCCAGAGAAACATCGTCCCGTCCTCCTGACAACTTCTACTGTACACCTCACAGCCACAGTGAAACACGTATTTCACACTCTCCATATAAACTTACTTGCATTACATCAAAATCGTCAAGCTTGTGACTGTAATGTGATAGTGTAAGATGATATTTGAGGGTTGAGATGAGGTGCGGCCGGCAGCGGGGCGCGGCAGTGAGGTTGAGAACAACACAGCATTAAGAGTCTAGTGTTGTCATGAGCAGTCAGTAGTGAGCATCATGGCTCGCTCTCCCTCGCTGCGGACTAGTGATAGCCTGGTGCTATGTCTTGTTGTGCTACTGTGCTCTCTGTGTAGCTGCTGTCTGGGACAGCGACACCAGTTTCCCTTCAGTGAGATACCACAGACGAGGTTAGATGTTATTGAACCAGAGGTATACGGCCGGAGTTCACGATGCTACAATGAACTAGGAAAGGCACAGGTAGGTGGAAAGTTCTTTTCCCTGTGATTGTATTGTTATGATGATGCTTGAAAAGTAGCCAGGGGGAAGGGTACATCTCCCACCGTGGGCACGTCGTCCACTGGGGGAAGGAGTAACATACCCTTGGTACAAGCTGGGTACTCGTGACTTCACATGATATCGTCTTTAATTTCAATGTTAATCAGTTATGTTTAGTGTTGTGGTGGTGTGTATGAGGGTGTGTTATGACAGTGTCCCCTCACTGGTGTGTTATGACAGTGTCCCCTCACTGGTGTGTTATGACAGTGTCCCCTCACTGGTGTGTTATGACAGTGTCCCCTCACTGGTGTGTTATGACAGTGTCCCCTCACTGGTGTGTTATGACAGTGTCCCCTCACTGGTGTGTTATGAGTGTCCCCTCACTGGTGTGTTATGACAGTGTCCCCTCATTGGTGTGTTATGACAATGTCCCCTCACTGGTGTGTTATGACAGTGTCCCCTCACTGGTGTGTTATGACAGTGTCCTCTCACTGGTGTCTTATGACAGTGTCCCCTCACTGGTGTGTTATGACAGTGTCCCCTCACTGGTGTCATGACAGTGTCCCCTCACTGGTGTCATGACAGTGTCCCCTCACAGGTGTGTTATGAGTGTCCCCTCACTGGTGTGTTATGACTGTCCCCTCACTGGTGTGTTATGAGTGTCCCCTCACTGGTGTGTTATGACAGTGTCCCCTCACTGGTGTGTTATGACAGTGTCCCCTCACTGGTGTCGTATGACAGTGTCCCCTCACTGGTGTGTTATGACAGTGTCCCCTCACTGGTGTGTTATGACAGTGTCCCCTCACTGGTGTCTTATGACAGTGTCCCCTCACTGGTGTCTTATGACAGTGTCCGCTCACTGGTGTATTATGACAGTGTCCCCTCACTGGTGTGTTATGACAGTGTCCCCTCACTGGTGTGTTATGACAGTGTCCCCTCACTGGTGTGTTATGACAGTGTCCCCTCACTGGTGTGTTATGAGTGTCGCCTCACTGGTGTGTTATGACATAGTGTTCCTCACTGGTGTGTTATGACAGTGTCCCCTCACTGGTGTGTTATGACAGTTTCCCCTCACTGGTGTGTTATGGCAATGTCCCCTCACTGGTGTATTATGAGTGTCCCCTCACTGGTGTGTTATGACAGTGTCCCTCACTGGTGTCTTATGAGAGTGTCCCCTCACTGGAGTGTTATGACAATGTCCCTTCACTGGTGTGTTATGACAGTGTCCCTCACTGGTGTGTTATCACAGTGTCCCCTCATTGGTGTGTTATGGCAGTGACCCTCACTGGTGTGTTATGACAGTGTCCCATCACTGGTGTGTTATGACAGTGTCCCTCATTGGTGTGTTATGACAGTGTCCCCTCTCTGGTGTGTTATGACACTGTCCCCTCACTGGTGTGTTATGACAGTGTCCCCTCACTGGTGTCTTATGACAGTGTCCCCTCACTGGTGTCTTATGACAGTGTCCGCTCACTGGTGTATTATGAGTGTCCCCTCACTGGTGTGTTATGACAGTGTCCCCTCACTGGTGTGTTATGACAGTGTCCCTCACTGGTGTGTTATGACAGTGTCCCCTCACTGGTGTGTTATGACATAGTGTTCCTCACTGGTGTGTTATGACAGTGTCCCCTCACTGGTGTGTTATGACAGTGTCCGCTCACTGGTGTGTTATGACAGTGTCCCATCATGGATGTTTGACAGTGTCACATGTGTGGTAAGACTGATTCTCCCAGGGGTGTATACCAGGTGTCTCCCCTCCTGAGGTTTGACATGTCCCTCACTGAGTGTCTTTATGAGTGTCCCCTCACTGTGAATTACTGCATTAGTCATCAATGGTCAAGTGTCTCTCACTTGTGTGTGATATGCAGTGTCCTACTGGGGTTAGATCAGTGTCCCAGCGGTGTGTGGCAGTGACGCTCTGGCGGTTAAGAAGTGTCCTACTGGTGTGTATGACAGTGTCCATATGGTGTGTTATGGCTGTCCCCTCCTGCGGCTAGTGACAGCCTGGGTGTTTACGTCCTTGTTGTTATGACGTGTCTCTCCTGTGTGTGTTATGAAAGCGACCCCAGTGTTTATGCAGTGTCCACAGATTGGTTGATGTTTATGAACCAGAGCGCCGGTCACGGTGTGCTACAATGACATGACGCACAGGTAGTGGAAAGTTCTCTCCCTGTGATTGTATCAGTGTTCATGTGATGTTTGAAAGTGTCCCAGGGGATGAGGTACACTCCCACCTGTGGGCAGACGTGTCCCTATTGGTAGGTAAATACCTATGCTCAACTGGGTATGTGACATTCCACATGGTTGTCTTTAAGTGTCTCAATTGTTAATGACAGTTCTATGTGTATAAGTGTTTGTGTGGTGTCATCACGGTGTGTTATGACAGTGTCCCCTCACTGGTGTGTTATGACTGTCCCCTCACTGGTGTGTTATGAGTGTCCCCTCACTGGTGTGTTATGACAGTGTCCCCTCACTGGTGTGTTATGACAGTGTCCCCTCACTGGTGTGTTATGACAGTGTCCCTCACTGGTGTGTTATGACTGTCCCCTCACTGGTGTGTTATGACAGTGTCCCTCACTGGTGTGTTATGACAGTGTCCCCTCACTGGTGTTTATAAAGTGTCCCCTCACTGGTGTGTTATGACAGTGTCCCTCACTGGTGTGTTATGAGTGTCCCCTCACTGGTGTGTTATGACAGTGTCCTCTCACTGGTGTGTTATGACAGTGTCCTCTCACTGGTGTGTTATGACAGTGTCCTCTCACTGGTGTGTTATGACAGTGTTCCTCACTGGTGTGTTATGACAGTGTCCCTCCACTGGTGTGTTATGACAGTTTCCCTCACTGGTGTGTTATGACATGTCCCTCACTGGTGTATTATAAAGTGTCCCTCACTGGTGTGTTATGACAGTGTCCTCTCACTGGTGTCTTATGACAGTGTCCCTCACTGGGTGTTATGACAATGTCCCTTCACTGGTGTGTTATGACAGTGTCCCTCACTGGTGTGTTATGACAGTGTCCCTCACTGGTGTGTTATGACAGTGACCCTCACTGGTGTGTTATGACAGTGTCCCCTCACTGGTGTGTTATGAGTGTCCCCTCACTGGTGTGTTATGACAGTGTCCCTCACTGGTGTGTTATGATGTCCCCTCACTGGTGTGTTATGACTGTCCCTCACTGGTGTTTATGAGTGTCCCCTCACTGGTGTCTTATGACAGTGTCCCCTCACTTGTGTATTATGAGTGTCCCCTCACTGGTGTTTATGACAGTGTCCCCTCACTGGTGTGTTATGACAGTGTCCCCCACTGGTGTGTTATGACAGTGTCCGCTCACTGGTGTGTTATGACATAGTGTTCCTCACTGGTGTGTTATGACAGTGTCCCCTCACTGGTGTGTTATGACAGTGTCCCCTCACTGGTGTGTTATGACAGTGTCCCCTCACTGGTGTTATGAGTGTCCCCTCACTGGTGTGTTATGACTGTGTCGTCCCCTCATTGGTGTGTTATGACAGTTTCCCCTCACTGGTGTGTTATGACAATGTCCCCTCACTGGTGTGTTATGAGTGTCCCCTCACTGGAGTGTTATGACAGTGTCCCCTCACTGGTGTTTATGACAGTGTCCCCTACTGGTGTGTTATACGTGTCTCCCTCATTGTGTGTTTATGACAGTTCCCCTCACTGGTGTGTTATATCAGTGTCCCCTCACTGGTGTGTTATGGCAGTGACCCTCACTGGTGTGTTATGACAGTGTCCCCTCACTGGTGTGTTATGACAGTGTCCATCACTGGTGTGTTATGACAGTGTCCCCTCACTGGTGTGTTATGACAGTGACCCTCACTGGTGTGTTATGACTGTCCCCTCACTGGTGTGTTATGACAGTGTCCCTCACTGGTGTGTTATGAAGTGACCCTCACTGGTGTGTTATGACAGTGTCCCTCATTGGTGTGTTATGACAGTGCCCCCTCACTGGTGTGTTATGACAGTGTCCCCTCACTGGTGTGTTATGAGTGTCCCCTCACTGGTGTTATGAGTGTCCCCTCACAGGTGTGTTATGACAGTGTCTCATCACTGTGTGTTATGACAGTGTCCCCTCACTGGTGTGTTATGACAGTGACCCTCACTGGTGTGTTATAACAGGTCCCCTCACTGGTGTGTTATGACAGTGTCCTCTCACTGGTGTGTTATGAAAGTGACCCTCACTGGTGTGTTATGACAGTGTCCCTCATTGGTGTGTTATGACAGTGTCCCCTCACTGGTGTGTTATGAGTGTCCCCTCACTGGTGTTATGAGTGGCCCCTCACTGGTGTGTTATGACAGCGTCCCTTCACTGGTGTGTTATGACAGTGACCCTCACTGGTGTGTTACAACAGTGTCCCCTCACTGGTGTGTTATGACAGTGACCCTCACTGGTGTGTTATGACAGTGTCCCTCACTGGTGTGTTATGACAGTGACCCTCACTGGTGTGTTATGACAGTGTCCCCTCACTGGTGTGTTATGACAGTGTCTCCTCACTGGTGTGTTATGACAGTGTCCCCTCACTGGTGTGTTATGACAGTGACCCTCACTGGTGTGTTATGACTGTCCCCTCACTCGTGTGTTATGACAGTGTCCCTCACTGGTGTGTTATGACAGTGTCTCCTCACTGGTGTGTTATGACAGTGACCCTTACTGGTGTGTTATGACAGTGTCCCCTCACTGGTGTGTTATGACAGTGTCCCCTCACTGGTGTTATGAGTGTCCCCTCATTGGTGTGTTATGACAGTGTCTCCTCACTGGTGTGTTATGACAGTGACCGTCACTGGTGTGTTATGGCAGTGTCCCCTCACTGGTGTGTTATGGCAGTGTCTCCTTACTGTTGTGTTATGACAGTGTCCCCTCACTGGTGTGTTATGACAGTGTCCCCTCACTGTTGTGTTATGACAGTGTCCCCTCACTGGTGTGTTATGACAGTGTCCCTCACTGGTGTGTTATAACAGCGTCCCCTCA